TAATATTTATGACCTGCTTTTTGTCCAGCTAGCTGAAAGTTGCATGTTTTGCTCTCTCTGCACATATGCCTTTATCCTCCTAACAACCCAGAGACACAGATCACTGTCCCAAGGCCTCCCAGGGATCTTCATAGCCCCAGAGAGATTTGAACAAAGGCCTTGCAAGTCCAAGTCCAGCATTCTACCCACTACACCATGCTGGCTCTGTAATCTTGTATGAATGACTAGCTACAACTGCAGGTAGCTGCTGAGAGGATTTGGGCATTGTCTGTTAGCTTTTAAACCAAACAGATGGAAATTTCACACTTGTGCTTAAGAACAAAATGTATCCTAGTTCTGTTTTATGCTCAGTATAAAACTCTTTTTATATCCCTGCGCAATAAAGACTGCTATAAAACTTTATTGGGTATGCGAAAAGTAAAATGTGGCATTTGTTGTGCCATCATGTTCATTTTAAAAATAATAAAAATGACGAACTGTTTATTTACTTCTGGTTTAGAACATCCTCTTGTCAAGTATCCTGTGCTGCAGAGTGATTTCTGTTGAACGTTTCCAAAGCAATGCAGAGGAGTAATTTGGTCATACATAAATTCATTACCTCTGTGGCCACTGAATATGTACAAAACAGACTAAGGCTATACATACCACCTGGATATGCAGTGTGACTCCCTATGGTAAGTGTAGTTTTTTACCAAATGGGGAGGCGAATCCCCAGTACTTACCTATAGCTTTATCACAGGCTTACACTTAGTAATGATGGAACAGTACATCATAACTGATTTCCATATTTTAAAGCAAGCATTTTTGTAAAAGTAAAGTATAATTAAACAACAGTCCAAATCCTCTTACCTAGCTACACTGGTATAGCACAAATGGCATTAACAAAAGGCCCAGTTCCTTGTTCTTTTATTCCGAACCTCCCTCAGTGTTAGGCGGGTATAGCACAAATGGCATTAACAAAAGGCGCAGTTCCTTGTTCTTTCATTCCGAACCTCCCTCAGCGTTAGGCGCCTCAGCCACCCGGCCTGGCTGGAACGAGTGACTCTGGCAGCTCTGCCAGATATCGAGGTCCTAAACCATTTAGGGCTTTGTATGTTATACTAAGCTAAACCGTTTAGGGCTTTATATGTTATCACTGGGACTTTGAAATCAACATGGAAATGAATGGGCAGCCAATGCAAGGCGGTCAGCGTGAGGAAAATATGTTGGTACCTTTTCACCCCTGTAAAACGTCTGGCCATCGTATTCTGCACCATCTGGAGTTTCCATGTCAGTCTCAAAAGCAGCCCCACGTGGAGCACATTACAGTGGTCTAATCTCGAGACTACGAGCGCATGGACCATAGTGGTGAGCGCCATCAAGACGGGCACAGCTGGGCAATCTGCCAAAGATGGAAGTGTGCAGAAAAGACCACTAACACCACCTGGGTTTCCACGGCGCCAGACCTGGGTTTCCATGGTGAGTGCCAGGCCCAGATGTACACGCAAACTGCAAACCTCACTCTTGGTGGTAAGTCACCCCCCCCCCCCAAAGAAGAGGGAGTTTCCCAGACCACTGATGTCTGGGGCACCCACCCGAAAGACCTCCGTCTTGCCCAGGTTCAGCCTCAGTCCATTCTCCTGCATCCATTGCTGAATGGCCTCCAGGCAGCATTCAAGAGATGAAACAGCATCCACTGTTATTGGAAAAAAAGAAATGTAGAGCTGAGTATCATCAGGATGCTGATGACACAATGTAGAGCTGAGTATCATCAGGATACTGACGACACAAAGCCCCACATCCTCTGATGACCCCTTCCAGCGGCCTCATATAGATGTTAAACAGCATTGGAGCGATAATCCAGCCGTGTGGAATCCCACAATTGAGGCTCCACGGGGCTGAGAAACTCTCCCCAATCTGCACTCTCTGGGGACGGTCCTCCAAGAAGGAATGGAGCCAGGCAAGAGCCAGGCCACTAAGTCCCAACTCAGAGAGCCTCCCTAGGAGGATACCATGGTTGACGATATCAAAGGTGGCTGAGATGTCAAGGAGGACCAGTAGAGACACTTTGCCTCTGTCGGCCTCCCTCAATAGGTCATCAGACAGGGCAACCAATGCCGGTTCCATGCCGTGGAGCGTCCTGAAGCCCAAATGGAATGGATCCAGGGCATTGGTTTCATCCAGAAGAGCCTGCAATTGGTTGGCCACCACCCTCTCAACTACCTTGCTAAGGAAAGAAACATTGGCAACGGGCCTATAATTACCAATATCATCCACCGCCAAGCTCAGTTTCTCCCTAATGGGCCTAATGAGTGTCTCCTTGAAAATTGAGAGACCCATTAATTATTGCCATACTGTAGCCCATTCAGATGTTATAGGCCTGGCTGCTTTCATTAGCCAGGCCGGGCAAGGGTCAAGGGAGGAGGTGGTGGCGCGACAGCGATCAAGCACTCTGTCCACCATGTCTGACGTCGCAGGCTGAAAGTGATTAAGTCTCATCTGGAAGATGGAGCGCTGGGGTAGCTATTTAGGTAGCTACACAACATAATTACATTATGGGTGAGCAGTAAACTTATTACAGAACATCAGCCACGTTCCCCCTCTCCTCCTGGTTTGGAGATACATAAAATCAGCAGCTATTTAAGTTCCTGTGCTATTATTTGTTTTGGGGTGTGGTTTTTTTTTGGTGCTTTTTACAATTTTAACCATGTTTATTATATTAGGACTTTTAGTATTATGTTGTAAAACAAGCAAACTCTGTGAAACTCAAGGCTATAGCTACCTTTATTGAGCCAATCCACCTCTTAATTGGTCTTTTCCTCTTACCTTCAACTTTTCCCAGCATTATTGTAATTTCCAGTGAATCTGGTCTTTCCATGAAGTACCCAAAGTATGGTACAGCAGCAATCCCCAACCTTTTTGGGGCTGTGGACCGGATGGGGGGAGTGAGTTCCATGTACGGTGGGTCAGGGGCACCCCCGCATGAGTGTGGTGGGTGCGACACCCCCGTGCGAGTGTGACACGCCCACCACAAGCACGATACAACGCTGCACAAGCACAACACGCCCACTGCGTCGGTGTGCGGGGGGGGGGCGAAATCTATATCCGTGGCCCAGTTCCAGCAAGCTCACGGACCAGCATCGGGGGTTGATGACCCCTGTGGTTGGTACAGGACAAGCAGATTTCTCAGACACAGCCATAAATCCTGCTCTATGAGGTTAAGAATAATTTATGCTGCTGACACTAAAAGGTGTTGCCATCGTTCTTGTCTTTTTCAGGATGGTCAAACTGAGGACCCTAAGGCCTTCTTTTCATAAAGACATGGTGCCATCTATTGGCCAAATGTGACTATTCTCAACAAGTACAATCTAGACACCAACTTTGAGGGTAAATATTAAAGCTGCACTAGTTAGGAATATCAAAGTGTTCATATTTTCAACCACAAAATCTAGAATAAAATGTGTTAGTTTAAATCTGTACATGTGTAAACGTGATTGCTTGAAATAACTGAGAACATCTGGAAAGTACCCTAGCATGGCTTCAATGAGCTAGGATTATGGAGTCAACAGGGGTTTTAAAGGTTATTGCCATGTCTAAAATGCCACACTATCACAACAGTCTCTTTGTTGTATGTTAATGTATAAATACAGTATTTGCCATGTAATCATCCTATGTCTGAGGAAGTGGACTTATCCACAAAAGTTCACATTAAAACGTAACACTTAGTCTTTAAGCTGCCACATTTTTTTTTCTTTTGTGTTTTGCCTGATAGGATAATGGACAAGTTCTTAGTTGTATGGCCTGGCTAGATAGTTCAGTGAGTTGGGATACAGAGCCAAAGGCTGGGAATTTTATTCAGGTTCACTCTTGAGTGACTCTCAGCACATCATCAAGAATGTCATTATCTGCTTGGAAGATCCACTGCGTTCACCAGATGGTCTCTAACAAGGTGTCAGTCCACCGACTCCAGTGGCAAACCCCTCTCGCCATCTGCCTGCTTGGGGGCATTGCGGCGGAGACCTTGCCTCACCCAACCAGACCCGCGCCCTTCTCCCCAACAGGCCAAGGTCGGGTGCGTAAAGGAGCAGCCAGCCGTCCTCCAGGCGCATCTCCCATCCTCCCCGGCGTGGGCCTGAGGGAAATGTGGAAGCGCGGACGGGGCTCGTCGCTGCGAAGCGAACTGCCCGCTCCGCCCTCCCCGTCGCAAGGCACGGCACGGCACGGCACGGCACGGCACGGCACGGCACGGCACGGCACACACCCAGCAAGGGCTCAGCTGCTCCGGGGAGGGCGGTAACCACGTTCGCGGCCTGGGATCCAGCCGCGGCGCCTTCCCGCCCGCTTTACGGACTTGAGCCGCCCGAGAAACCAAAAGGGAGGCCGGAGGGAGGGACAGGGAAAGAAGGCGTCTCCGCCACTCTGCTCCAAGCGGGCTGGGAGGGGGGACGCGCAGGCGGGCAGACGAAGGAGGAGAGCCCAGTCCGGCTGGACCAGGAAGCCTCGTCGCCTTCCCCGCCCGGGGCCAGGCGGAGCCAGCAAGCAGGAGGAGGAGGAGGAGGAGGAGGAGCGGGTGAGAGGTCGGCCAGCTCCGGTCGCCCATAGAGACGGAGGAGTCCCGAGTTGTGAGGGCGGC